TGCTTCTGCACTTTGCTTCGTGTTTTGCGTGTTACTGCTGCTGCTGCTGCTGCTGCTGCTGCTGCTGCTGCTGCTGAGCACAGCAGAGAGCAGCAGCAAAACTCTCTCTATGTGCTGCTGATCGCATGCACAAGGCCGCTGGGGGCAGCAGCAGCGGCAGACATCAAAGGGGCGCAGCAGCAGCCCCTGCAGTGCTGCTTCGCTATCAATCACCAGTTCTTCCTCTCCACCGCTGCTGCTGCTGCTGCTGCTGCTGCTGCTGCTGCTGCTGCTGCTGCTGCTGCTGCTGCTGCTGTTGCTGTTGCTGTTGCTGCTGTGCTGCTGCTGCTGCTGCCGCTGGCGGAATTCTAGCACGTCCTGAGACGCCTGGCGCCGGCAGTGCGCTGCAGCAACACAAACCCTAAACCCTAAACCCTAAACCCTAAACCCTAAAGTCCCTAGACCCTAAACCCTCAACAGCAGCAAAGTTAATTTACTTACCTTCTGTTGCTGCTGCTGTTGCTGCTGCTGCATTCGCTGCATGCGCTGCAGCAGACAGCCGCTGCTGCTGCAGCCGGTGGGGGCGGTAGCTCGGTGGCAGTGGGCCTGAACAACAACCCTAAACCCTAAACCCTAAACCCTAAACCCTAAACCCTAGACCCTCCACCCCAAACGACAGATTCTAAAGCATAAACCCTGAACATGAGGAGGAGCTGAGATTCAAATGAAGGGTTTAGGGTTTAGGGTTTAGGGTTTAGGGTTTATAGGGTTTAGGAAATAGAGAGGGAGACGGACTAGCACGCGAAGCAGCAGCAGCAGCAGCAGCAGCAGCAGCAGCAGCACTTGACGCCATCTGCTGCCGCGCCTCCTGCAGCAGCTGCTGCTGCTTCTCGCGGATAGCCTGCTCCAGCTGCAGCACAAACACCAACACAACAAACCCTAAACCCTAAACCCTAAACCCTAAAACCCTAGACCCTAAACCCTAAGCTCTAAACCCCAAACCCTAAAACCTAAACCCGGAACCCTGAACCCTAAACCCTAGACCCTAAGCCTTAAACCCTGAACCCTAGACCCCAAACCCTAAACCCTAGACTCTAAACCCTAAACCCTAAACCCTAATGAGGTACCTGGCGGTCTCTGCTCATGGCGCGGAGACGAGCGCCAGGGGTGAAGAAACTCGAAGCCAAGCAGACGCAGCACCTGCGTATACACCCCAGCAAGGGTTTAGGGTTTAGGGTTTAGGGTTTAGGGTTTGGGGTTTGGAGGGCAGTGAGCCAGCATCGTATATGTAGGGTGGCAGATGCATGCTATGCAAGCAACAGCAGCAGCAGCAGCAACAGCAGCAGCAGCAGCAACAGCAGCAGCAGCAGCAACAGAAGCAGCAGCATCAGCATCATCATCATCGTCAGCAGCAGCAGCATCAACAGCAGCAGCAGCAGCAGCAGCAA